CATTGGATGAAGGATCCCAAGGCTGTGGGCCATCCTGTACTGCTTCACCAGGTCACAAACATGGAGCTGGATAGGAAGTGAAGCAGCCAGGACACAAACAGGTGCTCATATGAGGTGCCGGCACTTGTAGGACTCCGGAACAGGGGAGCTGTGTTATCCATATAAATGAGAGAGTATGGTTGAGAAACCTGGCCAACCCCGGTAGCGTGGGTGGAATTCTGGCTGGGCATGGCCACCTGTTGGCATCGGTGGCTCTTGTTAACACTGGGCTGGGGGAGAAGGTGGAGGCTGTCAGTGGGTCTGTTTCTGTGGTGGAGCCAGGGCTAGTAACAGAGGGGATTGATGCAGTAGGTACCTTCTAGCTGACTATGCATGGCCATCGGAGGGTAGGGGGATGGACAAAGGTGGGATCCAGACATCCTTGGGCTAAAGAGCAGCTCAGAATCCTGATGATGGCACAGTGGGACAGGAACACCCTAGGGAGTGAGACACTGCTATAAGGGGGAAGGAGTGGAGCCAGGACTGGCACTGCCCAACTGGGTGAAAGCTTTCCCAACAGCATTGTGTTCCTGGCCCTGGTAAGGCCTAGCTGTGTCCTTCTTGCTGGTGGCCTCAGGGAGAGCCTCCGTGTCCTTATGTAACCGGCTTACTCAGTGAGCTGGACGCAGTCAGGTGTAACAAGAAACTAGCCTTCATCTTCCAGCTGCTCCGCAGAGTCAGTTCTTTCCCCAGCCGAGGCTGAGGACTCAGGCCCGGGTCTCCCCAGACAGAGGCCTGCCAAAACCAGTCCCTAATCCTGCCACACACTTCCAGACAGTCCTGAGTGGGGATTCGTAACAAATGTGTTCTCCTAAGCCACTGCTCAGGGTCGGGTGCTGGGGCCGGCCAGTGCTGCTTCCCGCACCTGCTCTTCCTGTGGGGGTGAGAGACCAGGAGTGAAGGGGCAGAGGCCCAGCTTCTGTTGCCAACTGAAAGGTAAACCGGAGTGGGTGCCCAAAGCTGTGGCTGGAGACATACAAGGTCTACACACCATGACGACCCACCCCAGGACCTGTGCGTGGACGTCCACAGGCTTCAGCGGCCCCAGCCATGCCGCAGGAGCCGCTGGGTTTGTCCCCTCTGCCGTGGCTGCCTCGCTCTGGAAGGCGGCACAGTTGGACACTGTCATTTTGTCCTCAGTTCTAGGAGTCCCAGATAAAGCTGTTAGAGTTGCTTTTTTACACCTTGTTGCACTTGCATGGACTCCTCTACTTAGTCATCTGGCTCTCTCTTCACCAGACTCTGAAAAACTGATGGTGTGATCTTGGAGCATCCTGGGGGACCCTGCGCTCCCTAGGGGTTTGGTTCTGTGGGTTTTAAGTGTGGTCACTTCTCATCATCAACGTTTTTGGGAATTCAGTGACTTCTATCAGTTTTGTTTAAGATGGCAAGATATGTGTGTACTGGAAGGAGTGTGTGTGTGTTGGGGTGGGGGTCCTGTTTATTGTCATTGTCATTAGCAGTCTTTGCGTTCCCACCCTACGCCCTGAATGAGCCTAGCAGGTGAGACACCCTTGCCCTGCTCCAGTGACCCGCTGGGACATGGGGGCTTGGCTGGGGCAGGGAAAAGACTATGTTGGCTTCCCCTGGCCTTGCAGGTGCACCCATGGTGGAGAAAACTTAGTGATGAATGGAGTCCTGTGAGTGTGGGCCTTCGAACTGCCAAGGGAATGGCAGAGGAGTGGCCAGGCCTTGGATGCTGGTTGCACTGGCTGGCAGGCTCCGGGGGGGCACTTCTGCACTGGCTGCTCCTGGAGTGACCTCTCTCTTCCCTTGTGCTCTAGGGAGAGCCTTTGTGTGTGACGCAGCATAGCTTCCCCCAGCTGTCTGCCTGATGATTGCGACAGTAAGGGTATATCTTGTTTTCCATGACCTTCATTCCCTGTGTTCCCCACGTTCTACTCCAGGTATGGGGGCTGGTGTGCTGGGAGTGGGGGGTCTGTGCCAAGCTGGAGATGTTTTTATTTTAGTACACCCCAATTTCCTCATGACCCCCACTGCTGACCAGGAAAGTGGGAAAACTTAGGGCCCGGCACTCAGCACCTGCTGGACCAGCTGCTGTGACAGTGAGCACGGAAGCAAGCACTGACATATGTCCCCATCTCAGCACATGATGGGTGGCAACAGAGGTCAGCTCCCATGGCCACAGCCTCGTAGGACAGCGTTCTCCGTGGAGGACTGCTTGCTGGGTGCAGGGATGCAAGTGTGTGTGAAATTATGCCGTGTGTGCACCGCCGGATTCCCCTGAGAATGACGGGCTGTTAGTTTACACCACCCTCTGTGGTGCAACGGTGCCCGTTGCTTGTCCCTCATCAACATGGAGATGGGTGGTTTCTTTCTTTTTCTTTTCATCTTTGTCAGCCTGAGAGGTGATGGTTTGTCCTTGGTCTCTGTACCTGCATAGGCATTCCAAGGTTGATGTCTTCTGCTGTGTGTTGATTGGCCATGTGTGACTTCTCAGGTAACTGTGCACTTTGCTAAGTTTTCTTTCAGTGTTTGTCTTTCTTAGTTTGAAATACTCTGGACACTCCTGAATATTCTTCTTGTTGCTGCTGTATGTATCGCCACTGCTTTCTCTCTTGTTTGAGATTTACCTTTTCAATCTTGGTCATGTTTTATGTTTTGGAAGGAAGAGAATTTGTTTTTAAAGCTTATTTATTTTACTTCACAAAGAGTTACAGAGAAAGAGAAAGGAAGAGAGAGAGCGAGCGAGTGAGCTCTTCCGTCTGCTGGTTCATTTCCTTTAATGGAAGTAACAAGAGCTGGATTGATCTGAAGCTGGGAACCAGGAGTTTTTCCATGTCTCCCATGTGGGTGCAGGGATCCAAGCACTTGGGCCATCCTCCACTGCCTTCCCAGGCCACAAACAGGGGGTTGGGTTGAAAGAGGAACAGCCAGGACTCCAACTGTTGGGATGCCGGAGCCTGCTACTCCACCATGCCAGCCCAGAATATTTGGGTTTAAAAAGGTGATTCATTCATTTGAAAGAAAGACAGGAGAGGAGAAAGATGTAGAGAATTCTCACCCACTAATTCACTCTGCAAATGCTAGCAATAGCCAGGGTTGGGCCAGGCTGAGGGCTCCCGGGCCCTCTGGCCCCCTGGGACAGGAAACACGTGTCCTAAGCAGCATCTAAACCACCTCCTCAGATGCCCACCTGGGATTTGGAGCTTTCCAAAACTCATATTCCCTAGCCGTTTCCTTCGTGGCTGTGGCTGTCTGCCATACTACCCAGGAGCAGCTGTCCTCCTGGGCCACCGCTACACTGTACAGGGAACTGATCCTAACAACTGCCTAGGAGCTGGATAGAGGTGGGGGTGTCGGAGTCCCCCTTGGTGTGAGTGTGTCGCAGTGGCACAGGGGAGGGACAGTGATGAGGGAGGGCCTGGCCTCAGACAGAAAAACTCGAAGCCCCTGTCTCTGACCTGAGCAGGTCTCCATTGTGCCCTCTGGTGACCCGGGTAGGCCTGGCAGCTGCCACCTGCTCTGCCCTCTGAGATGCTGCCCCAGGGACGTGGCAGGTGCCTGAGGGCATAGATGGGAACCATGGGGGAGTGGGGTCTTGGGTGCTGGATGTACCCGGGAACAAAACCACACACATGGCCGTGCCTTGCTGACGGCTTTTATTGCAGATGAGTGTCATTACAAGGATAATCTGGGAACATGTTAAAAAAAAACCCTCCTGTTTATTTACACAGAACATGCTACATGGTACATTTGGTGAGAAATGCTGAGGTAATGGCGTGCACCGGCCAGGGAAAGCACCGCACGCCCCACGTTACACGCCCAGCCGGGAGGGCCTCGCACATTCGACTTATCTCTTGCTTGCTCCTGGCCTGGCAGCATTCCCAGCGGCACTGAAGCTGATGCTTGTGGCCCGCAGGACTCAGGGCACCACCAGGGTGGGGAGAGAGAAGGTGGCCCATGGTCCCGTGGAGTCAGTTTTGATTTCGGGGGGACCCCATTCTCTAGGGAGGCATACTCAGGCCCAAGAGCACAGGACACGCAGCCCCATTGGGCGGTTCAGGCGATGGCCCCCTGCAAGGCGGGTTTACTACTCATGTGAAGGTTACAATGACTTGTAGGCTAAAGTATGACTGGAAAATATAAAACTGCAGATACGTGATGTGTGTGGCCCCGGGCTGCTTTGGGTCTCACCTTCCCTTCTGACCACAAACCTGAGCCCGGGCTGTCTCCTACTCCAAGACAGTGGGGGAGAGCCGGGGGGTGGGGAGCTTGGATCTTGCCTGAAAGAAAGTTCTGTGAGACAGACGGAGAATGCACAGGGCAGGCCAGGGGAGGACAGTGCCCAGCACTGCGGAGCAGGGCCAGGGCTGCCGCATGGAGTCCTGAGTGAGTGGTACTGCACCACTGGCGGGGAATCCTGAGAGTGGGAAAAAGCATGAGAAAGGAGAGGGAGGCCGACGTGGAGGTCTGATGAGCTGGGGGCCTTGAGCACACCTCTGGAAAAATCCAGGTTCACTGTTCGTTGCCAGCGGTTCCTCTTGGACCCGGGGCTCCAGGGCCTGTGATCTGCTCTCAGACCCATGAACCCCGATGTGAAGGAAGTGCTGGCACTTCTTTTCCTAACAGCAAGGCCACTGGTAATGACTTCTGCACCCGAGCATGGAACACCTGTGGATGCAGGCACCCAGGCTGCCTGTACCCAGCGCGTGTCATGGTCCACACGTAAGAGCACCATGAGGCTCATCCACATGTGTGTATGGAGGGGGGTGAGTTGTGGGGCGTTTTGCACTTGGGTCCTGTTTGTAGGGGCTCAGTCTGTTTGAAGAAAGAGCCATGGAGCCCCATCCCGTCCTGGGCATGAGAGGACTGTGTGGTGTGCAGGTGAGTAGGAGCGACAGGGACCCACTGTACCGGTTCAGTTCCATCATCTGCCGCCGTGATTCGGGAAACAGAAGTCGGCCTCCCGAATCCTCCCAGCCCCGAGATGAGCCAGCGGTGGGCAGCTGGCGTGCGGCCGGGCGCTCAGGAGGGAGCTGAACTAGTGGAAGGTGTTGGGGTTGGGCCGGATCATCATGACAACCTTCTTGAGCGAGTAGGAGCCTCCTCGGAACTCGGCCCAGTAGACTCCGTCCTGGTAGCGGCTGCGGTAGTGGCCCCCACGGTACCAGACCCCATTGAGGTTGGAGTGGGCACAGGCGTTGTACCACCAGCCGCCCTTCTGGTAGTGCGCGCAGTTTCCTGCAGGAGAGAAGAAAGTGAGGAGGTCCGGAGGAGGGGATTTTTACCCATGGCCACAATTGGCCTGGGGTCTTGGGTAGGACCCTCTCTGGGAGGCACCTGGGCAAGAAGGCTTGGGAGATGGACAGCTTGAGGGCTGCCCAGGGCTGCCAAAGAAGGCCGGCTCTGCAATCACTGGCCATGTGAGCCCAGTCCAGTACCTGCTCCCCTTCTAGCCACTGAGTTCTAATTGGCATGACGGGGAAGCAGACAGCTCCTCTGGCCCGAGAATGCCGTGAGCACCAAGTGCCCTTGTGAGAACCTAGCACCATGGATATTAAGCAGGGCCTATATACATTTATTTTTCCATCACTGGTGCACCGAGGAGGACCTTCCACCACAGTTTCTAGAGAGGGCAGGAATATTCCATAGGATTTTTTTTAAAAATTTACTTGAAAGGCAGAGTGAGTGAGAGTCAGAGAGAGCTTCCATCTGCTGGTTCACTCTCCAAATGGTCACAGTGGCTACAGTTGGCTCCAGCCAAAGCCAGGAGCCAGGGACTCCATCTGGATTTCCCACGTGGGTGGCAAGAGCCCAGTCACTTAGGCCATCTTCCGCTGCCTTCCCAGGTACATTAGCAGGGAGCTGGATTGGAAGTGGAGCAGTTGGGACTCGAACCGAGACATTTCTGTTAAACTCTCAGTGGTGGTGGGTCATGTTGATGTCAGTGCCTTGGCCTGTGTGTTTTGTTTACCCCTCTGCCTCTCCCTCTTGCAAGGGCCACCTGACCTGGCTTTGTGAAAGGTGCCTTCCAGGTGGGAACAGGGTTGGACAGCTCATGCCTTTCCTCCCATCCTCAAGCCCTGATGCCAACGCCCCCAGCCTGGGTTGGCCTGCCCTCCCCACCCCGCCCTTGGGTTTTGTGTCTGCATTTCCCACCTGTGTAGACGTCATGGTCTCTGTCCAGAGTGGTGAACTGCTTGCCATTGTGCCAGGTGAAGGAGTCGCCCGCGTTGCCATGGTAACGTCCCAGCCGCAGCCTGTAAAACTCGCTCTCAGGTTCCAGGCGGAAGCTGGCATACTCTGCGAAGACCTTGCGGCCAGACCAGTCCTCCATGGTCACCAACAGCTTGTAGTTGCCTTGGTTCGTGAGCCAGTAAATATTCTCCAACCCCAGCCAGTACTCGCCATCGATGTTCCCGAACCCTTGCTGGGGAGAATCCCGGAGAGCATTAGTGGGGAGCGCTGTGACGCCTGCTGGGGGCCACCCTCCATCCCCACCAAGCCAGAGGAACCGGAGAACCAGGCAGGGTGTGAGGTCAGCCCCCAGGATGGGTCTGTGACATTGGGAGTCATTTCTTCCTTCTCAGGCTTAACTGTGTGCATCATCCAGAAACATGGAGTGGGCGCCAGCTGGTATGTGCGGGTCACGAGTGAGCATTCATGCAACAGACAGGCATGAGCTGCCACCTGGGCTCCCTCCTGGGGCAGAACCCACACGCGATTTTGTGATTGTTGTTGTTTGGGGGTGCTCATCTGAGCGGCAGCCACCGAGCTCTTGGGAGAAGACAGCAGCCAGAATGGAGCATCGTACCGACTCTCAGCCAGGTGGGGAGAGTGGATGACCAGTAGCCCAGAAGGGCCCCTGGCCCCTGGGCACCTGAGATGAGCATCCAGTTTAGCCATGGTGCAGAGGCGGGGAGGAGGGGGAAGCAGAAGGCCAGGCTGGGGCAGCCAGGCCAGGAGACCCTGAAAGGGGCCTGCCAGGGCCCGTGTGCAGGTGGTTGTGTGCACACAACCCTGAGTAAAGTGCTGGGCCCACTGCAGTGGATGGCCCAGGAAGAGGGTGTGGGGTTCTGGCTGAGCCCCAGCAGTCTGTCTTTCTACAAGAGAGAGCCTTGCTGTTTCCTGGGGGAATTGGGGAGCCCAGAGTTGGCCTGGAGTTAAGGTTCCCCCAGGTTTTCGGCTCCCTACATGGGTCCTTTGGTGGGACTTCCTGGGTCTGGGAGCTCAGAACTTGGCCATGTATAGGATTCTCCGCATAGGGACCCCAGCCTGGGGTGAGATGCTTCTCCCCTCCCTCCCCCAGCCCCAGGGCTGCGGGCTGGACTCCTGACTATTGCTGGAGGAGTCAGCGTATGGCTCCTCCTGGTGGGGGTCGGGTCACCCATGCAGACAGGCCCCCCCATGGCTCTCACCTTGTATGTCTCCCAGTTCCTGAAGAAGTTGACAGAGCCGTCCAGGCGCCTCTGGATGACTGTCCAGCCCCCAGGGTCGTGCCTCTGGTCGCACCACACCTGCATGAGACGATTGGTGTTCTCGGGCTTGACCAGGTAGATAGAGCTGGTGTCGTGACCGTCCTCCAGGGCCTGCAGGCAGTCTCTCCACGGGCCTGTAGTCAGAGACACACATACATCAGAGGACCTGTCTGTCACCTGGCCAAGCTCCACCTGCACCCCTTCACCATGGCTTCTGGGTCTTCGTTACACTTTGCCAGGGGGCATTTCCTGAAGCTTAGCGCTCCATGGGGAGCCCCTGACCCTAGCTTCCAGCCTTTTGGGAAGACAGGGCCTGTCTTGTTCATGACTTGATCTGCAGTGCCCATACGGCACCAAGAGGAAAGATAGGTCTGACAGTGAACAGTTAAACCCAGGGCTCCTCCCTTCACCATGTCCCCCAACAGGGGATGGGCAGACCCCAGGCCCCTGCTCTGGGTGGCATATGTGGCCCCAGCAGCCCTTTCTCCCTTACGTGGTGCCATTTCCTACTTCTGCCCCCAGCCAGACCTGCAGCTGGAACATTCAGGAAAGAGACAGATTTCACTTGTGTTTGACCCAAGCCCCCAGGACCTGGCAGAGAATGGGAGTCTGTCCCTGCCAGCTTGAAGAGGGCACTGTGGGCATAGGAGGCCACCCACTGTCAGCAGTGGCCTCTTGTTGCTGCAGAGCCACCTGACCTCCTGAGGACCAGTCAGATGTGGAGGCCATCCCGGAACAGGTGCCTGGTGGAGGAGCATGGGGTCCCCATGGCTTTCAACACTGGGCTACATTTGTGGGTGCTCCTGGCAGTTTTAGCTCCACCCCTGGCAACCCTATGCAAGCGTTCTTAGAAGGCAGGTGTTGGTAGAGGTTTGGGAGGGGTGGGGGGGAGGGAGGTGTCTGGTACTTTTAAGCATTTCATTAAGAAATATTAAGATCTTCCATTCATCAAAATGCACAGATTTGTACTATTCTATATATGGTTTTTACATGCTGCATGGACTCCAAGCCCAGGACATGAACCCCGAGCCATAAGAGTCCTGACAGAATTACTTGTGTCAGTAGCAAAACAGTAATAGCAGCCAGGGTATGCCAAGCCCTTCTGAGGGCCAGGCCCCATTCCAGGCCCTGCCCGGCTTCCACCTGATACTGCCCTGATCCCCCGATACTCCAGTGAGGGAGGCAGCAGTCACCCCATTTCACAGGCGATGGAGCTGGAACCCAAGGATGTTGGGGACAGTTCCGAGGCCGTGGGGCAGGTTAGGGGCAGCATGATGACATGCCACAGGTGGTTTGAGTGGGGCAGGACTCCCCTCTCAAATACTCAAATACTGTTTCTCATCTTTGCCAGCAGGCAGGTGAAAATGTCCAGGTCTCCGTGTAGGTGGCCATGTTTCCCAGAAACCTCTTGGGTGTGCTTTGCCAATTCTCCAGCTGTTGGGGTGTTGGTTCTGTCATAGATGCAGAGATGCCAGCTAGGGTCAAGGCAGCTACAAGTCCACAGGCTGAGGCATGCACAGCTCAGTGGCAGGTGCTAACGCTTGCATACCTTGGAGGAGGCCAGGGAGGTGTCCACCTTTAACCACGGGATCCAAGGAGGATGAAGTGTGGGGCTGCAGGAAGGGTGCCACGCCTGGCATCAGGAGCCCTTGGCTTGAGGCGTGGAGGCCTCATCAAGGCACAGGGTGACTTTGAGGGAGGAGTTTTATAAACAGGGGAGGACCCCTCGCTGGGCTGAGCATCTTATGACCACACACACATACACACATGGATGTCACACGTATGCACACCATCACATGTGTCACATGCTTACATCACACACATACTCACATTCACATTCTCTAATACACACTCACCCCCAGGCCCCGATGGGGAAGGCTCACACACTGTGTCAGCTCTCCTGCGGTGGCTCTGTGGTCCAGCCCCCCGGCAGCTGGGAGGCAAGAAATGGGCCTGTGTGGGAGGAAGGCAGTGCCAGAGTGGCTAGGAAAGGAGCAGAGTCTGTTCTGGCAAGAGCTTGGCGGGCCAGCAGCGTGACAGGCACTGGTGCCCTTGGGGCATGTCGAGACCCCTGTGGCTTAGGTTTCGGCCATTGTTCTAGAGAAGGTTCAAGTCCCTGTGTGGGTGCTGGTTGGGGCACCTGTGATGCCAGCTAGGGCTTCTGCCTGAGAGTTCCATGCTGTTTTCAGTCCCTGAGATACTTTGTTTCTTTTGGCAAGCCAAGTAAGCCTTTGATGAAATCCAATCTGGAACTTCCTACCCAAATGAACACATCTGAGTGGCAGGGCACCTGGGCTGCCGAGCCCTGAATCCCACCTTTGCTGACAGCAGGCCTCACCAGGCTGCATGGGAGCAGGAGGACAGAACCACCTCCCCCTCATCCTGGCAAGTGGCCATGAGACACAGTGCTACATTGATGCCCTCCTTTCTGCTTGTCCACAAGGCTTAGTAGGATAGGGCTTCGGTTGCAGCCATCCTAGTCCTGTGTCATTTCCTGCCTTGTAGGTGAGTCAGAGGGCCCAGTACCACCTGAACCCAAGGAAATTGTACCCGTCCCCGGAGATATCCCCAGCCCCTGGCGAGCCCCTGGCGAGCCCCAGGCTCACGGCATGGATCTCACTCCTGGCTGTTACAGGGAAGGGTTCCAAGCGCGCATACCCACTCTCCCCGCCACTTCGATCCTCAGCCGGCAGGCACCATGCCCAGAGCCAGTAAGCAAATTTTCAGGACTTTATGAAAATGTTTGAGGCTTTAAAATAAATGTAAAAAAAAAACTTATTGGCTCTAAAATATGAAAAGAAAACTGTAAAATCGAAATTTATTAGTATATAATTAGGTTTCTGCTAAGTGTTAGATTTTGTCAAGTTGGCTAATTGTTAGACTTAGTCTCCTGTAAAAACACTAGTGCTTTTGAAAACAATTTGTATGTTAGATTTTTCTCACTTCCCCAAGAATTCCTGAACATGCCCAATGTTTGCAGAGAAATCAGAGCCAGCCATAAAGTAATTGAGTTACTCTTAGCCAAATAACTTCAAGAGCAAGATTGTTAAAATATCCTTTCAAAACTGTTACAGTAAAAATCATATTAGCTGTGTGGGAGGGGAGTACTTCTTCTAGCATCAAGTGCCGTCTAAACCCCCCCCACCTCCCGCTAGAATAAAAGCTTGGGGCGCTGGGGAGGGCTCAAAGGGGTCCTAGTGCCACCTACTTTGGCCTCAGCACTGGTTTTTCTTAAGAAGTCACTGTGAAGTGAGTGCCCATGTGTGTTTTCTTTTGGAGCAGTTGGGCAGGAGACAAGATCGCGGATCGAAAGCGCAAAGAAGCCAGCATGGAAGGGGCTGCGGTGGGCTCCCTGTGCTGAGATTCACAACTAGCCAGGGGTCCCTGGGGATATGGTCAGTGGACCTGGAAGCTGCCCCAGGTGAGAAGGTCCCTGGGCAGAGAGGGACATGGTGCCCTGAGGTTCTCACAGGTACCAATGAGTTCAGACAGGTGCTGACCCCAAGGGAGGAGCTGGTAAGACCCCTGGGAGCGCCATGTCCAGGGCCTGGCAGAGGGCCGGTCCTGTTGCTGGGCAAGGCCGGCAAGCTGCTGGCTGCTCCTGCAGGCCCAGGCCCAGGTGGGCCATCCCCGATGACCTCGCCATCTCCCCATCTTCCCATCTCCCCATTGGTCACCAGTATGCTTGGTGTCTCTTCTGTTACCTCACCATGCTGCCCTGGGGCTGTTGGTACAGTTTCTGGTCACAGGTCCTTTCTCTTTCTCTGTCGTAATTGTTTTCTTTTAAGATTTATTTTATTTTATTTGAAGGGCAGAGTTACAAAGAGGGATATGCAGAGAGAATCTTGTATCAACTGATTTACTCCCTACCTGGCTAATGCACCTTAATAGCCAGTTTGGGCCAGGCCAAGACCAGGAGCCTGAAATTCCAATGAGATCTCCAACATGGATGGTAGGGTTCAAGTTCTTGGGCCATCCTCTGTTGCTTTCCCAGGCACAGAGCAATCCAGCAAAGAGCTAGACTGGATGTAGAGTTGCTGGAGCTCCAGCTGGGGTTCCAACTGGGGCTCATGTGAGATGCTAGTGGCGGTGGCTTACCCTACAGTGCCACAGTATTAGTCCCTGTTAGGACGTTTGCCCACCACCACACTTGGTATTTATGGCTTCTTGACCATTATTGGCAATGGCTCAGAGAGCGGTTCAGCCTCATCACTTCCTCTAGGAATTCCTCCGCAATCTGGCAGAGCTACTTCATCTTGCTCGTGATTTCCCCAACACCTGATGCACGTTTGGAATACAACAAGAGGGACTCCTGCTGTGTGTCTAGAGCTGGCCGCCTGTCAGAGCTTTCCGCGTGGCTGCACCTCATCCTTTCAGCCCCTACCACGACAGGGAGCTCAAGGAACTGCGATTGGAATGCGGGTGCAGCTGCCCCACCACATGAGGGTTGCTGGCAGCTGTTGGAAGCCATCAGAGTGGCTGGGGCTCCTTCAAGGCAGGGTCTTCCTTGGGGCAGCGAGCAGGTGTGGCTCTCCCAGTCACTGCCCAACGCTGAAGGGACACTTGGCACCTTCCTCCTTCTGACTTCTTACCACCTTATCTTGTGCCGTGCAGCTTGGGAACCAGAACCAATCCCAAGGACCACATGATTCTCAGAATGGGGAACAGACCTCTGGCCAAGGGACCCGTTCTGTGGGGACTTGGGGTAGAGAGTCCTTGATTACAGGCAGGGACTTGCATGGGGGTTGGGGGGCAGGCTTACACTTTGGACACACCTCTTCAGAGGGTTTATTTTAAAGGATGAAGATGCTAGTGGTTTGGACAGGAGTTCTAGTGGAACTTCTGATGCTTGGGTACCGTCGTTTTAATGTAAATGATTGCATTCAGAAAATGCAGGAAGGGAGTTTCAACCATTCCTTTGAAAAAAAAGAATAGACAAGGCCCAGCACAGTAGCCTAATGGTTAAAGTCCTTGCCTTGCATGCACCAGGATTCCATATAGGTGCTGGTTCTAATCCCAGAGACCCCACTTCCCATTTAGCTCCCTGGTGGTCTGGGAAAGCAGTGGGGGATGGTCCAAAGCCTCGGGACCCTGCACCCTCGTGGGAGACCCAGAAAAAGCACCTGGCTCCTAGCTTCAGATCGGCTCAGCTCTGCTGTTGCAGCTACTTGGGGAGTGAACCAGTGGGCAGAAAATCTTTCTGTCTCTCCTTCTCTCTGTACTCTGACTTTCCAATAAAAATAAGTTTGTTTTTTAAAGGAAAAAAAGAATAGGACAGGACACCAAACCATGACAGCTCCCGCAACCATCTTGGTTCCTCTTGCCCTGTGAGTTGAGGACTCAAAAGCTCCTTTTTCAAGTGAAGTGTCTGTCTGATGTTTCCTAGGTAGAGTGCAGGCCACAGCAGGGTGGCGGAGGGGGAAGGTTGTGCCATGGGGGAGCTGTCTGCAGCCTCAGCCACAACTGCTCCTCCACCAAGCAGACACACTGTTTCTTTCCTGATGGGACTCCAGCTCCACTCTCTGCAAGGCGGCTGTTCACTTGCTCAGCTCTGCTTTACCAAGTTATTTCTGTGTGTGTCTCAGGGTTTTGGCATCCAGTACTACACAGACTTTTCTGAAGGCGGCTGGCCGGCTATTGGTGTGACTTCAGAGCAGGCCACAGATAGATACCTGATCTTCCAATCTTCCAAGTGCTGCCTGTTGGGGCTTCCGGGCCACAGGCTGCTGGATCAGCAACCAAATTCCAGGGCTAGGTACCTCCCGTGGTTGTGTGTGCCCACAGTGCCCAGCGGGACGTCCTCGGGAGCGTCCTGCACCCAGGCCCAGGAGCTTTCCAGAGCTCTCAAAAGGCTCTTTGTTGATCTGTTCCCCCAAGGGGCCGGTGGTGGAAGAGAACGCTGAGCTGGGAGGAAGGTGGCCCCTGCTGAGCACGAATTCCTGGTGGAAGCCATCTTCCAGCCTGGCCAGCTTCCCTAAGTGGCTTTTGTTTAGCAAGAGGCCAGCAAAGAATGCCCTTTGAAATATCACTGCATTACATCAGCTGTAAGGAATCTGGGAGTCTTGTTTTTGTTTAGCAGAACATTTTAGGGGAAAAAAAAAAAAGGTTGGGCTGTGGAAGCTGCACCCGCTGCCTAGGCGGCCACTTGGCAGGCTTTCTCTGCAACCCCAAGAGCCCCGTGGCTCCCTCACTTCCCCACCTTCCCCATCTGCAGCACTGAGCCCAGGAGCTCTGCCTGCCAGGCCTGCTGCAGACACACCTGGGAGCTCACCTGGCTTAACACCTGCTTGGCTTCCTCAAAGGATGCAAGCCACTGAGGTTACAGAACATACTGCTGTTGAGGGAACCACAGGTCGACAGGTGTTTTTCCTGCCTTCTAAGGTGAGGCAATCCAGCCAGGAAAATGCTTGCTCTTGGGGTCCAGGCCTCCCTTGCATGGGGCATGGAAGCCTCGGTGGGGTTGCTGGGAGCTGAGGAACCCCTGAGGTTTCGGAGTAGCGGGGTCCAGTTGTACTGAGTTAGCAGTGAAATGAGCAGGCTGCCCCGTGCTGCATGCCTGACAAGGGTGTTCCTGCCAACTTCCCTGTGTGCAGCTCTCTCCAGAGGTGCCAGGACCTTCTCTGTAGCTGAGTGGCAGCAGTTGGCTAAGCCCTAAGTTGGCAGCTTCCACTGGAGTCAACTGGGGTGGCTCCGATTGGACCCAAGGGAGCCTGTGGTGTTTTTGTCACCGGAACCTGGTAATACCATACCTTCCAGCTCTGGTGATGGTGACAGGCGAAACTATGCCAAGCATTCCTGGTGATTTTTCACACCAGCTTAGCCCAGCAGCAAGGTGGCGCATCCTAGACTGGTTAAACTCCACTGAGGCTTGAGCCTCTGCACAGTTGTATGGCCTTGGCTATTCTACCAGAAATGTCTACCCCTGTTGTTTTTCAAAGACTATTGTCCCACAAAGTTGCACTGGGGCAGCTGTCCTGGGGATGGCTCTGTCTGTCCTCCCTGGCCAGTCCCTAGGACAGGTACTGTGGCAGGAGACTGACGTGCATGTGGGCTGAGAAATGGTGGTCCAGGCCTCCCACGTGACCATCCTGCAGCTGCAGGGCTCACAGGGAGAGAAGCCCTGGACCTTATCCCAGACATCACCCCCAATGTGGCAAGCCCCAAAAGTGCCCAAACAAAAGCCAGGTGAGAAGCCAGGAGGAGATGCCTGGCTCCCTCATGTGGGCTCTGGGCAGCCCCGCCTGGCCCAGGGCCAGCCCCTGGCCGCCTGTCTAGGGGCTGGGAGCAGCCCTTGAGAGAACACAGAGAGATAAGCAGGCCATGACTCCTGTGGGCTGAGCTGCCCAGACAGTGAGGAACTGAGCTAGGGCTCTGAGGTTGCTGAATGCCAGACTCAAGAGGTGCCAAGGACGGGGGGCGAAGTGTTTCTGGCTGCACTGCGTCCTCCTGAACAAAGGTTGTGTTGGACGGCACACAGAGGGGTTTGTGTTCCAGGACCAGCTTTTGCCCCGAGATCTCCAACAGGCCTGATAAGGGCTCCCTGCTGAGTGGCTGCTTCTCTACAACCACCCCCCACCCAATCCCATTCTGTCCCAACATCAGGAGAGAACAGGCCTCCTCCTCCCCCAACTCCACACCCCAGTCCTCCTCTTCCGGGCTCCTGTCTACCCATGTGTGGAGCTCAGCGGTGAGCTGGGGGTAAGGGAGCTGCTGTTAAAAGTTAGATGTCGACCCTCAGGATGGTTCAAAACATCTAAAAGACGGTCAGCTGTGGTGCATTTGGGTCACCTCCAGAATGGACCCACTGGCCTTCACCCCATGCCAGCGCTCAGCACCCCAGGACACACAGCGCATGCTGGTACTGTGATGAGAAGTCCCGCCAGGATTGTTTGAGGAACCTAGCACAGGACCATGCCTCTGGGTCCTCATACAGACCATCAACACCAGGGCCTCTCTACTAAGTGACCTGCTTTGCCAACTCCCCAGTGCACCTGCTAAACTCCAACAGATGCTGTCAGACGCAAGACACATACCCTGGCCCCAGGCAGCCTTTTCCCCACTCCTCCAGTCATTCCCCGTCAGGTGCCCCTTTGAGGGGCAGCCCACACTGCCAGATTGCGGCCAGACAACATGAGGTTCCTGACTTCAGGCGCCTCCTCGGTTCTCACGGACTTTTAGAAATTCCAGCCTTGACCAGTGCTGCATCCCAGAGAACCCCTTCGGCAGATCTGATGGGAGTGGGAGGCACTGGGTAGGTCCTGGGTGCCTTGTAGCACCTGCCAACTCCCCCAGGGGGGCTAAGTTCTAGGACCATAGTTCTCACCTCCTGGCCCAGGTCTAATGCTGTGAGCTTCCCAGAACAGGGGCTCAGCTGATGCTAAGTGCTCCATGGGCCATGATCCTAGGTGCTCCCCTGTGTTGGGTTTACACAGCAGAGCCCTGTCAGTTCGTAACTCTTGCCCCTATTTTACAGAGAAGATTGGAGCAGGGAGGAATTACATAGTTGCCTCATGAGCCAACAGCTGACAAACGAGGCAGCCTCTTTGCAAGACCCAGGTTTTTATCCCTACACCGAGAGCAGCTGCCGGCTTAGTTCAAGCCCAGGAAATGTCCTGGAATCATTGTTTTAGAAACCAGAGGTACTTAGCGGGGAGATCTGTCAGGGAGCCGCTGAGGCCAGCCTGACTCATTCAGAATTAGAACCACATTCAGCTGAGCCTCCATTCGGTGCCCACAGTCAGGACAGAGTCACAGGTTCTGCCCTTGGCTCGGGAGTTTGTGATTTAAGAGATATGTCCACACATATGCTCCAAGACGGATGGTTGATCTCGCTCTCCTTGTGTTAAAATGACGAGACCCAGATCAAAGGGGACTCAGAACTCTCCCTGGCTCAGCCCCGATCTGAACGCTTATAGTTGTAGTATTTCACTCTGTAGATGCCAGCTGGGAACTGACGGGAACAGTAAGTACCTAGCAGGGGCTTCCGACGAGCAAACCAAGGCTCCCAAAGGGAAAAGCCATCTCCCAGAGTTCATTAGAGGGGGTACCGGCATTGGAACCGAGGCCCACCTACTCCAAAGTGCCTGCTCCCAGCCCCACCCCAGTCTAGGTTTTCCCAAGTAGGTGCTGTGTTCATGCTCTGCCCTACCTCTCACCACCTCCACCCATGGGGCTCATCCCTGGCACTTCCATCCCTTGCTAAAATACTGATACTTTTTTTTTTTAACTGAAAGTGTCAAAACAAGTAAAAATAAATATCTCCTGGCTCATACAAGGCAGTATCGAAGGCTGTGAAATGGAGTAGACACATGGCTTGTCTCTGAAGAGGTGGTGAGCATCGTTTTGGTATGGCCCCCCTGCCTGGAAGGCTGCTTTGTCCTGCAGCCAGAGCTGAGTAGTAAGGGACTGAGTTCAGATGCAGCCCGGGATCCCAAGCCCAGGAGCAGGTCCTGCAGCATGTCCCTGAGGAGCTGCCGGGTCAGCGGCATACCATCCACGGAGATAGCTGGGTCACCTTGCCCGTGACTCCTGCCTTCCCCCATGGTGGCACCCTGAGAATTGCCTGTCTTCAGGCTGAAGTGTGTATTTAGGAATCCGCAGACACATCAGCAACAGACTCCAGGATGTGGGTGGCCACCGAGTGTTCCTGCTGCCCACCCAGCCCCCTACGTCGTAGTTTATACTTTGGGTTCAATAATGCCTTCTCTTCCCCCAGTCCGTGTTTGTCCTGTGAGCATTCACACAAAGCCAGGTGAGCTGGCGCCAACAGAGCAGCTGTGCAAAGCCTGGAGTCTCTAACTTCCCAGACCCCCCAATTCCTGGTTCTACCATTAGGATTCCATCTAAGAAGTGTGGGTTCCGCACTCCTTTCCACCCCACCAGCCCCCCGCGGTTCAACCGTAGTGATTATGCAAGGCCCTGGCCCAGATTCAACCAAGCCTTCTGCACACTTGGCTTTCCCCACTCCACCCCTGCCCCCGCCACTTGTGATCACAGCCAAGGGAATCCTGGCATCTTGCTCTGAAAGGTCTAAGGCAGGGTGTAGGTGTGTGTGTCGGGACAGCAGGACAGGGTCAGGAAGAGACTTACCCGACGGCTTGTCTGTGGAGGAGGGGAGGCTGGTGAGGGGTGGCATAGTGGGCAGAGGGGGCGGCAGCACCTTGAGGTTCTGGTCACTTTGGATCTCATTGGTGGAGATCTGGTTGATGATGCGGTTGTAGGTGGGTGGCTGGTAGGCGCGTGGTGGGGCAGCGGGCAGAGGCGGCAGTGGCGGCTGGGGCATGGGCCTGGCAGCAGGCGCCCTCTGACAGTGCTCCTCGAGCTGCGCGATGGTCTCTGACTGGTTGTGGGCCAGCGTGGCCAGATGCTGGTACTTGTGCTCCAGGTCCTTGTACTTGCTGGCCAGCTGCAGCATGTCAGCCGTCTGGTTGAGGATGCGGTTCTCGAGCTGAGAGAGCTCGAGCGCATTGTCGCGCTTGCGGATGATCTCGTGCAGCAGCTGCATGTAGAGCTGCGTGACGCGCGAGTTCATGTTGCGGCTCTCCTTGCGCAGCAGCTTCACCTCGCTCACGATGCCGCCGTCCACCTCCACCAGCTGTTGCAGCGTCTCGATCTGCCGCTTCTGCTTGAGCAGCTCACTGTTGAGCAGCTCCAGCTCCTGCTTGTGCACGCGGTTCTCCAGGAGCACCTCGGGCTCCTTGGAGTTGACGCAGATGGCGCCCGTGACCCGCTGCTGGGGCACAATGAAGGTGTAGGTGCACTTGTCCGAGGACTCGCCCGCTCGCTTGTACCTGTTGAGGTAAATGAACTCCCTGGGCGAGCCCTCCTCCGTGGAGGCACCCTCAAAGCCGTCCTCCGGGCTGCCAGTGCCAGCGGCTCCCATGGCAGCCAGCAGTCCCAGCCACCAGCACGTCAGGCTCAGTGGCTTCATGCTCCCTTGCAAAAACAAAACAAAACAAAACGAAAAATGTTGCTTGCTTAGTCTTGGTGAAGGAGTTACCAAAGAGCCTGCAAAAGACACAGAGGAGAGAATCAGTGGCAGGCCCAGGGGACCGTGCCGTCATGACCCTGGCCGCCTCTTCAGGAGTGTCCCCAAAGCCCAGCTACACGGGAGGACAGTGGCAGAGGAAGAAAGGCCCAGCACAAAAAATAAAGATGAGAGTAGGATTAGGGCATCTGCAGGCCCAAGACCTCCTCCTGTCCCTACCCCATCTCCCCAGTCCAGGCAGCTTGAAATCAGAAAACAGAGGCAAAGAAAGGGTGGTCCGGCTTCCCTCCACCTTCACCTCAGAGCCCCTGAACGCGTGGTGACGCGTCCCGTGTGTCTGATCTCTGTTGGACTCCAAGCTGCATGAGGGTAGGCAGTGTGCCTCACGCAGTCCCGTGTCCCTGTTGTGTTGCACTGGATGACAGCTTGTTCAAGGAGTGAAGTGTCCAGCCCACTGTGGGGACACGCTCAGTGTGTGGCAGACAATGTCAGTAGAAGGACATGTCCGGTCACGTGGCCCTGGGCCATGTCAGCTAAGCTGCAGAGCCCCAAACAGGAACAAGCAAGCCAACTCCCCTGAGCCAAGTATGTACAACAAACAGCAGTGACAACATAGGCTGCTCACTGCCCCTGCGATTAACCCAGCCTGGGGAGGGTGGGGGCACAGCCATGTGACCCCAGCTCTGGCCCGGCTCTTCTCGTGGGCCACACGCTCCAGAGGTGCACAGCATATCTGCCATGTGCCAGGTCCTATCCATAAACTGGGCAGAGCCAGGTCCTGCCCTCATGGGGCTTCTGCCTCATTACCGAGCACTGTGACACAGAGCACGCATGTGACAGGGCACGATAGAGCGCTTCCCTGAGAAAGTGACCTCTGGGCTGACCCCGAGGGATGAGTAGGAGTTGGGCAGGCCATGGGGGAGAGGGCGGAGAGCTCCGGGCCCCAAGGGGTGGGCCCCAACTCCTCCTTTCCCTTCACTCCGTGTGCTTCACTCCCTTCACTAGGTCACGTGTGCCCTACACATGTGCCCAGGCTGAGAATGCTCTCCACATCCTGTTCACTCTGCAGCTACTGTCCCACTGTGCTTCCCTCCAAAGGGTAGGCCACGCTCCCTGTTTCCAGAAAGTTCTTGGTCCTGTTGTCTCTTGACCTGCCTTGCACAGGCCTTGCCCCTTGCCCTCTTGAGTGCCCTGAGGGACAGGGCCCCACTGTTCTCCATCGGTTTTCGGTCCACTTGTTGACCCCAGGGACACAGTGATGGCTCCTTTCCCCGAGTTCCTCCGAGAGCCCCCAGCCCCACTCAGGCTGCCCTTTCCTGTTCCCATCCCACTGAGTAAGAATCACGCCCCCGCGTGGTCCTACAGCCCAGACTCTCCGAGATGCCCGCCCACTGTCTCTTTGATCTGTCCCGCCTGGGCCTCTGCTGGGCAGGTGACACTTCCTGAGAAACCAGCCCCGCACCTGCATCCTACCCCGCTCTGGGTGTCTCCTACACGCCCCAAACCGGAAAGCCCTCACCCAGTTTGTTTCTCCCACCACCCTGGAGCAGCCGGCTCTTCATCTGCTGCCCAGATAGGAAAAGGAGTGTCCTGACTGGCCACCTCGGCCCCACTGTCCTCTACCTACCCCTACACCGAGCCCTTGACACGGGGTCTTCTACCCTCGCCTATTCTCATGGTGTGTCACAAATGGGTAACAGAGTCTGGCAGGTCTGGCAGGCTCTGGACCCCCCCCCACCCCCGGTCCCCAAACCCAGAGTTGGAGGGAGGCAGAGCCAGGACTGAGCTCTTAATGCCCACACCGAGGCATCCTTCAGTAGTGAGAGAATGTCCTTGTCACCACTCTGCTGCCACACACATCACTGCGGGAGGAACAAGCACACTCAGGACCTCTGAGCTCTGTCCACCTTGGACCCTCGGGGACTCCTCTGGCAGCCAGGACAATGGCAACACAAGCCAAGTCCTCCCAGCACCACACCCAAACATTTTCCTCTGGAACGACAGGGCCTCAGTGCCATTCCAATGGGCAGCACACGCCTCTTCGGCCACACAAAGGTGTTCGGGAGCATCTGCCAGGAGGTGGGGTGGAGGTGACGTCAGTGGAAACCGGGCCGAGTTTGGAAGTGTTTGCCTGTTTCCAACAGTCCCTTGGCCCATCCCAGGCTGGTGGCCACGCCCCACCTAAGAACAATGGGGTAGGAGCTGCCCTCCAGGCTAGGGCAGGCGTGCTGGGCACCTCCTGCAGGCTGCTCATCTGTTGTGGCAGCAGGGACCTGCAGCACCTAGGGCAGGGGCGCTGTCCCCAATCAGGGCCAAGAAAATGCCGGAAGAGGCTCAGGGAAGCTACCCAAAGTTCTTTTCCTCCCAAGTAGGGGTACTCCTAACTCCCTCTCGGTGAGAGGCCAAGCTCTCACCCGTGGACTTGAGATCTTAGCATCTTAACCTCTTTCGCAAAAGGAGGTGATGGATCATACCTGGCATGCTTCCGAAACCAGAGATTGGGACAGTGTGGCAGCAATGTGACCACAGGAGCAGCAAAACAGCGGCCGGGGGGCACTGAGTGGGAGCAGTTCACCCACCCCCTCCAATCATCAGTCACCCGTGAGGAGCACCTGTTACCCCACTAGCTCCTCATCACCAGGGGCGGGGCTGGCCAGGAGGAAGCCAGAAATATGGGAAATACGGCCATGTGATCACAGATCGTGAGGTCTTCAGTGTCTTGCCAGATCATTCCAGATGCTAGATCAGTGTTCATGGGGTGCCCATCCTGCAGGAGAGAAGAGGGTAGCTCCCAGCAGTGTCAGGTCCCTGGCTTGAGTCCTGGGGCCAGGCTTAAAGCATTTTGCTCAATTCCGGGTCTCACTTCGGTTATCCTGGAGCCTGGGCTTAGCAAGGGGACTTGAGGCCAGTTGGGTCACAGGAAGGATGGAAGGGCCGGGGGGGGGGGGCGGGGGAGGCACCTGTACTGAGACCCAAGGGAGCTGGCAGGCAGTGCTGCTGCCCAGTCAGGCAGAGTGACTTGTTCAGGAACTCCCATGGGCCAGGCAAGCCTTGCTGTACCTTCTGAGCCACACGCAGACTAGGAATCGTTTTTTTCCTCCCTAAAGACTCCAGCTCCCTTCTCCCGTCCGAATTCTTTTTTTAAAGCCAATTTGGCAGTTCTTAATAGGCAGAAATGAGTTTGTTTACTTTCGCTCTCTTGATGTGTATTCTAGTAATTGCATCACAAGAGAAATACACGGGGGAGGGGAGGGGACAGGTTGGAGAGCAGGCGTACCCCCACATTCCAACTACCCCGGCCTGGAGAGCTCCACTCCCTCCAGAGTGGCACTCCTCGGCCCCCTTCCTGTGACCAGCAAAGAAAAGCAACACCAACTGTTTCCCTTGGCTCGCAAATGAAAAGTGATTCTTGAAATTGTTTTTCCACATTGTTTGCACCTGTTAGGGTTTTCCCTCCTCACACAAGGCCACCTGACAGCCTGGCTCACGGGGAGGTGGCCTTCCCACCCATCCTCCTGGGGGTGGAGGAAGGGGAGGCGCTTCCGGGTGTCCCATTGCAGCAGGGTACACACACACACACACACACACACACACACACACACACACACATCCTTCTCACCACTGCCACAGGACTCTGCGGTAATAAATGTCATTTTCATGACACAGGGCTTTGTCGCCCTGTGGCCAAAGCCACTGGCCCTGGGCTGTGTGCTCTGAGTCCTCCCCAGCAAAGAGCAGGGGGATCATGGCCTCATGTGGAAGGCCTGTCTCGTACTCCTGCCCATGCCCTCGGCAGGGAGCCATGTTATCTCAGGGCCTCCTCGACTCAGGGGAGTGGACCCTCCTGAATGGACCCCGCTGGCCGCGCCAGGGGATACAGCTTACCCACGTGGTCTTTGTGTTTGGGATGTTGCTACTGCAGCAGTCTCCTGGCTCTCTCACGGTCCCCACCGGAGGGCGAGCAGAGCTCTGGCCATCTGAAGACCAAGAGTCGGTTGTCCAAATCACCCAGCTGTTAAGGAACAGAGCCGGCAGCAGCCCACAACCCCAACCAGACTCTGGATAGCTGGAGGCCAAGGTTCTGGCACTACAGCCTGCCAAAGTAACTACCAAGGCCCTGGGGAACTGCTCCTTCCTCCAGGTTACAGTCCTGCCTGAAGGATACACAACACAGATATTCCTCCCATCTCTCTCGCACTCTCGCTCTCACACACACTAAGAGCCTCATTTGTCTGTGAGCACAAAGGCCACGGGTGAGTCCAGGTCCAAGAAGCCCACATCTGCCCAGGCAGGGAGGGCATCCGGAGCTTACACATGGAGCTTACACAGTACCAGAAGGCTTACACATGGTCCCTGAGACCCGGGTGCTATGAAGCTAAGTTGGGAATTTGGCCTGTGCTGGAGACAGTCCAGAGCAAGTGTGAAAATTAGGAGACCCAGGTGAGGAGAGGGAAAAGCATCCATGCTGAGTGGCCGTTGGTATGCCCAAGAGTTGGTTGGAAGGCTCGGGTTGCTGGTGGAGTGGTACCCAGGCCAGCGTGGGAGGGACCGGATGAGAGAGGCTGGAGGAGAGGTCCCCTGGATTTGTGTGTGTTGTGTTCTTACTACTGTGTAAATAGCGACTCACACGTCACTGGTAGGCCGGCAGGATGTCTGGAGTCTTGTGCCATAGTTAGCAGTGTCCTTGCCTCTCACTCTCAAAAGTGTCTTGGATGGGCAAAATCGATCCTGTGGTCCCCCTACCCAGAAGAAAGGTGTTGTCTGCATTTGGCATTTATTGGGGGGCTGAAGTTGGATCAGGTTGGTTTGCTTGGAGTCAGTGTCAGGATGGGAGGGGGTTGCGATGAGCAGAAGGTAGCCCATTTGTTTAAACACCAGGATGCTATTTGCTCCCCACTGCGGACTGAGTCTGTGGAAATAGCTTCCAGATCAACACAGGGGTGTCTTGTTGGGTGTT